ATGAAATAACAGTTACAAAAGGACAAATACTGACTAAAACTACTGTTATAATAAGAGGAGAGTTGGGTGGGGTGGCAGGGTGAACAGGAAAAGAATGGATAGATAATGTACACTGCTCCTGAATATGTGAAAGGAAGGTCAATGTAGAATGAAGGGATGAGCAGATGTTATGTTTAGTGCAATTAACAATCTGGAGCAGGACATGCATTGTGGACTGAAAAAGGGGAAACAGAGTGGAGGTATCTGCATAAATGAGTGAATTCAAACCACAAGTAAAATTAAAAGACCATCACATGTCTGAGAACTTATACAAGTCATTTAGTATCTCTGTGCTCTGGTGAGGGCATCCAGCTCTCCTGACACCCTGTTAGCAGGATCTTAGCACTCATACCTCCCAGCATTTCCTCTCAGTTTGCTTTGCTTATTTTTGCCTTTTCCTCTGGTCTTCCCACATTGTAAACCAGTCTTGTTTAGTTGTTCAATTGTGAATGGCTGGTATTTTAAATTTGGCTTAAGTTATCTTTTTCTCTTTTGCTTTCTTATTTCATTTAGAACATTCACAAAGCTAATTCTAAGTGCTTGGATAAGTCTATTCTAAATTATCAGTTTATGATCAAACTATCTGTAAACTGATATCACTTTCACTTCACCCACACATCTGAGCAGGTAATTAATGTCTCTCTTGCTACTAACATCCCAGGGAGCTCTGGTGGCCTAGTCTGCAGGCGGTTTCTATGCTAACTCAAAGGCCATGGCTCTCTGGGAGTTTCCAAGCCACAATCTGCTGGGCAATCTCCTCACATGATTTATGGCTTCAGAAACTCAAGGGAGAATTATGCGAGGAATCAGTTCCAACTCAACAGCAATGAATTTGAGATGTTTGTGGAGATTCGGGTCCCATCCCACAACACTCCATTTTATACTACATATGCTACTACACACACCATTTAGTGCTAGCTGCATCAAATCACAGCTCATGGTGGCCTGCATGTTAGAGTGGAACCATACTCCAAAACATTGTCAGAGGCGGATCTTTTCAGAAGCAGGTTACTAGGTCTCTTCTGAAGTGTCTTTGGGTGGACATGAACCTCTAAATTTCCAGTTAGCAGCTGGGCATGTTGACCACCGAGGGACTCTTCTCACTACACCCAGTACAGGAAACAAGGCGTCAGTGAGCAGCACCACTGGGGTGGGATATCCCAGTGGGGACACTGGACAGAGGAAGAGTGGAGAATGTCCAGTCAAGAAGTGGGGGGGACCGCAGGCCTCACCTCACCCCACACTCCTCAGATCGCAACTACCCTCAGGCAGTAAAATCACATTTTCAAATCACCTCCACTGGGACTGAGCCCAGGCAGCCCCTGGAGCCAAGGAGAGACAATTGGCAAGAGAAAGGAAATGCTAGCAACCCAGAGTTAGTGAAACAATGTGTTTATTGGGAGCGTCTCAGTCCTTTGTCTACATGTGACAGCATCTCATGCTTGGTCCAGCCGGTCTTGTGTGGAGGAGGCACATGCAGGCGACGCAGTGAAATATACACAAATGTACACAGAGACACCACGGGGCATGGTTTCCTCCTGACAAGTCTCTTTGCTGAGTTACATTCATATAAAAAGTCCAAATTCTAAAGTCTAATTAAAGAGTGTGGAACTGGAAGTCTGGAAGATCGCTTTGGGACTCACTCCCTTCAAGTTCCATAAACTGTGCTTTTCCTCCTCGTGTGCATGTTCACAAGAGCTGCCACCCGCCCGCATCCCACTGACCTGAGAAAGTTGTTGCACCCTGAACTCCATATGGCACTAGTGCCTCCACCATCTCCCACTCTCAGCAGCCAGTCACGGCCCAGCCCGCCCACTCCCAGCACCCAGTCACGGCCCAGCCCGCCCGCTCCCAGCACCCAGCCACGGCCCAGCCCGCCCACACGGCAGGGGCCCAGCACCCTGGGCCCTCACACCTTCTGGAAGAACTGTCACATGACGTTAGTTCAGGGACAACGACACACACCTGACACAGACAACCTGCCCTTGAGTAAGGTTTAGGATTGACACAGTCTGTTTAGAGGATTCTCAACACCCACAGAATTCAGAGATGGAGAAGTCGGCTACGTTTTCGTTTTTCTGCTAGAAGGGTTACAAATGGACATATATAAAAATCTGTGTAAACCGGTTTTACAAATGGAGATCTCTCTGGGAGGCACTTCTCTTTGTAAAAGAGGAGAGAGAACACATTCCTTCCACCATCAGAGCCGTGCAAGTCATGGAAGACACACCGAGACCCTCCCGCCTCTGAGCACTTCTGTGAGTGGGAGCGACAGATGCCTCCAGAGAACAGCACTGCAGCTGGGCGAGACATGAAACTACCTCAACAAAGGTCAATTCTCGAGAAACCAGGGTCCATGAGAGGAGAGGTCATACACTGACAACTACACTCTCAAAACACCTTTAGTTGTTATTTCCAAGTTAAATTAAGACTTGGAATGAGAGCTGCAGTTATCTGGTGTCGGCCAGGTTGGAGACGAGCAGTCCGCACTGAGCAGTCGTAAGGCTGGTGATGATGGTGGCCACCCTGGATCTGCGCACCTCCGCCAGCCTGGGTCTGCTCGCTGACTCCGCCTCGCTGGTCTCTCCACCACCGCCCGTGGTCCTGCCCAGAGCCACCCAGGAAGGTTATTTGGGACCTGTTGACTATGGAAAGGAGCCATGAAGAAGACAGATCTACTGATATTATTTCTGATTTGGCTGGTGAAACAAAACAAAAATCCTTCAGGCCATACTCTTCAAAATGTCAATATTCAAGATTTTTCTCAAGAAATGAAGTTCTCAAGGCTACTGATTCTACATTATGTTTCTAGAGTCCTGATCACTGGATGCCGTGGTATGATCTGTTTACAAATGTCCACGTGGCTTCCTGGGTTGGAGGGCATGGTGGGCAGAGTGGTGCTGAGCCGCCCATTTCTCTGACGTGGATGAGCCACTCAGGCTGTCCCACCCCGGAGCAGAGGTGACTCCCAGCAGGAATGGTGCAGGACACACTGTAATGGGGGATGTGGCCATTTCACGCTACATCTGCCTTACTCCCCTAGCCTCCCAAGACTCCTGGTACCTCACTTGCTCCCATCACTGCCCACAGTGCTGCTGTGGTGTCCCCCCTCAAAGGCGTCCATTTACCTGGGGGCTGGCAGGGTAGGTCCTGCCCAGTCACCCAGGTGGGGTGACATGACACATGCTGGGTGACAGTTGGTGTGCACGGGCTGTATTTCCACTGGATTCCACATATTTGGTAAATGCTAAGTCCACCTCCCAACTCCCAGTAGGGAAAAAAAAAATTTCATAGACAAGAATAAAAACACGCATGGCCTTCCTAGCCTGCGTGTGTGTGTGGCTGGGGCACACAGCTCATTCCACAGCTGGAGGGGGACCAGCACCTTCTATCACACAAGCTGGAGGTGAAGCTACCAGGCCTCCCTGGGGCCCCCTACGGGAGGGGAGGATGCTGGTTTGAGTGATGTTCCTGCCCCCTCACTGGAGTGTTGGGGTGACATATAGGGGAGGCTTTGGCATGAGGCTCAGCTGTGCTTCCGGTCAGGGTGACTGCTTGATACGCCTGTGCTCTCGCACTGGGTGAGGTGACTCTCCCTGGATGCGGCCGCACTCCTTCCTTCCTGTGGAGTGACTGCACTGATGGGTGGCTGGCTGCTGCGGTGTGGGGTCAGCCTGGCTCTGTCACACACAGCGTCCAGCTCAGGCCAGCTCCAAAGCCATGAATGGGGGTGCCAGTGATGGTGGGCAGAGTCCCTTCTGGGCAGGACTGAGGTGTCTGTGGAGGCCTCTACACTGTGTGGGGTGAAGGGTCTTGTGCACTGAGGGTGAAGCACCCTTGGCCTCTAGGCCACCTCCCTGTGGTGACCACCAACCCTGTGTCCAGACAGGCCCAGCATCCGTGGTGGTGAGGACCACACCCACCCCTATACTGAGAACCTCCCTCAACACTGCTTAGCACCCTTCAGGCCTGCAAACTGTTTTTCAAACATGTCTTTGATAATGTTGAACAGAGTAATTTAAAAAATATCCTCTAGTGGAGTGTCCCAAGAGTGGTTATTTGTTGATTTTATTTCTCTTCTGTACAGATCTTTGGGAAGTTGCTCGTATCCGTCGGGTTAAGGAGAGGGGGGTAGGATAGCTCCTATAGGCTCCTTCTAGTCTTTTATAAAGTCAAATATTTCATAAAAATCCAAATGCATGGTCAGCAGAGGGTCCCTGGATGTATTTTCTTCTTTGATTATTTGGAAGTAAAGCAAGTACATGTCTCCACAACACAGTCCTACGAGGTGCATGGAAGCTTCTAGAAGGCTGGAGGCTGCGCATCCCGGCCACGGCTCTGCCAGGTGAGAGCCCTGCACGGGGAGAGCGCGGCTGGGTGTCCCTGGAGGCGTGTGAAGTCAACGGAGAAGGACTAACCATGGATGGCGGGGACTGGCCACGAACACGAGTGATGATTTGCTCTGGGGTGCTACTCCCTACCTCTATTTTCTCACCCTCCTCCACAAGTAAATACATTTTATTTGTTTTTTTTTTCTTCAGTTAAAATAACGTGGCAGAAATTGACCTGACATAATTACTTCCTATTTTATAAACCACATTCCTAGCTTTGAATAAATTATTTATTCAAGAATCTCACACAAAGTAATTCCTAGTTTGCTAAGCGTAAGGAAGCCCTACTCAGTAGAACTCGATTTCTAAACATAAACTAAGAGTAAAAGCAGTTGCTGGGTTGTTTGGAAGGGGGAATACTGCTGGAGAGGGGCCGGGTGGGACAGGGCCCTAACGCACCCTGTGGGTTCAGGTGTGAGGGGCCAACCCCAGCCCCCGTCCCCACACCGAGCCCCACAGGGTCAGGTGTGAGGTGCCAGACAGGACACTGTCCCTAATTCCAGGTCCTGTGTGTGGCAGGGTCAGGTGTGGGACGCTGGACCTCGATGCGGGAGCGTGACAGCCCCCCAAGCCCGTGGGGTCAGGGTGTGAGTGAGAACTGGTCCTGCTCTGTGGGCTTCTCCACCCAGGCCCCCAGCCCTGCCTTGATGAAGGCTCTGAACAAACACTCCTTGGCCGCCTGGTACTCCTTCGCGACCAGCTTGGACTCGTGGTAAATGTGCGGCTTTGTGATCTTGGAGCGCATTAAGTTTGTGGGAACCTGGAAGAGAATAAAAAAATAACTGTAAATGCTTGAGCAGTAACTGTGTCAGATGGAAACAAAACGTAATGAGACATTCAAACAATGGTGTTTAGGGTGGCACCGGCTTCTGGGGAACAACATGGAAGGTGAACGTTGCCCAGGAAGAGACGACGTCACACAGGGCAGCATGACCTCCTCTCTCTGCAGGTTCAAGCGTCTCCTGCAAGCAGCAGACTCCCAGTTATGTGGGCAGCTGAGGAGTCCTGGTGGTTTGATGGATTAAGCCCTGGGCTGCTAACCAGAAGGTCAATGGTTCAAGCTCACTAGCCAGGAATAGGGAGAAAGATGGCCGCCTGTATCCACAGTGTTTACAGCGCTGGAAACCCCAGCTCCGCTCTATCCTGGAAGGGGTGATGGGTCAGAAATGACTGCATACTGACAGGTTTGGTGTTTTGGATCCTTACAACCTGCTTTTTGAGAGGGCCTTTGGGAAAACTGCTTACCCTTGATTTAAATTCCACTCTTAACATTCTAACTATGTAAAAACCCACTATTCAAGTCATCCCTGTGTGGCTGGAGCATTTCTGTGAAGGTCCACGGGGATGCCACAGACACTACCACAAGCTGCCTGGTCCACCAAGCGAGGCCACAGTGGATGAGCAGTCAGCATAGGACACCGCAGATCGGCGAGCTGCTGGGGGAACCACAGGACACCACAAGGGACTGTAAGTGACCACAGACCAGTACGGTCACTGCCCACCCAGGTGAGCTGGGCCCCTCAGGGTGCGACTGCTCTTCCCGCACCAACACCAACGCTGGCTTCACCATGACTGAATGCTATGACTGGATCAAAAGGTCTCTGCTGCTAAAAAACCTTCAAAGAGGGTTTAACAGGCATCAATGAACACTTGTGTCTCTTTTAAAGAAAGAGAGGAAGTGGTAGGAGCGACCACCAGTGCCTGGCGTGAGAGGGCAACTCGGACTCTGGCTATCGCCCGGGGTGGGGGTGGCACCCTAGTCATGAGAGGCTCCAGTGTCAGGGCTGGCCTGGACACTAGCAGTCCCAGGAGGCAGGCAATTTCAGAGGGTCATCTCTGTTCTCCCCTCAGAAGCTGCGTGCAGTGATGAGGGCCAGGACTGTTTGAGGGGCGGCAGCACGCACAGCAGACGGCTTATCTGGTGGGGGTGGGCCAGGGGGCCCAGTACCTGGCCGTGGACGCGCATCCAGCGACAGTACAAGGCGTGCTTACACAGGCGGGATGCACGGCCCAGCTCGTCCTTCCCCGTCGTGGCGTTGATGACCTCGATGGTCGAGTCCCCTACAGTCCAGTTAACACTGAAGTTGGGTGCCTTCCCCGGCTGCCGAGCCTCCGCGTTGCTGATACCTGGACAGAGCAGACAGATGGTGAGGCACCACCCTGGAGAGGGACACAGCTGAACACACGCTGGTCACACTGAACCCTGACCCTCAAGAGACGTGTCAGAATCCCTGCCCCTATACCTGGGAATGTGGCCCTGCTAGGAAACAGGCTTCATTAGTGGCCGCTAAGATCAACATGGTGCCTGTGAATGCTACTTGGCCTAAGGGTGTGACACCTGGACTTGAGTTCATGACTCTCTAGGGACTAAATCATTCTGACAGATCTGGCAATTTGTTATACTGTGCTAAGTGGGCACTCTTTTTTAAAACAACAACAACAACAACAACAACACACAACCAAACAAATCCATTATTAAGTATCCACACCATCATTCACTTTGATATAATTATTCATGTACATTGTGGCTTTCATGTACTGTATCCAGCAGCTACTGTGACAAGCGGAGGGGGACGGAAGGTGGGGAGTGGCGAGGGGAAGAACAGACATGTAATGGGCAGACAAAGAACCTAACAAGGACCAAGGCAAGGGAGGCTCGACCTGGGAGAATCAAGGTAAAGACAATCCAGTTATTGCAATTAACAAACAGGAGCAAGAAACACATATAACTGCGCACACAGGCAAGGGGAGAAGGGGCGGGGATGAAGGGAGAGACAATCTCCAGGACAGGAGAGAGTAGAGGGAGATGAGGGTCAAGGAATAGGTCAAGTGCAACAGGGACTTGAGACAGGGAATAAGAGCAACAGAACCATAGTAAGGAGACACTTAAGAAGAAGAAGGATTCTGGTGATAGGGACACTGCCGAGTGCAAAGCACACTCCCTCTATTCAACCAAGCACAAAATCAACCTGTCCACATGAATCACTAGCTTAGACAGACAAGTTGTCGGTCTTCCTGTGGACGCCTACTGAGTCTTCTTCCGAATACCTGAGGAGCACACCTCCGCTGCCTAGGAGCTGCTGTTGGTACCATTTGTCTTACACAATTTTTCTAAAATATTAGAGAAGAATCTGAAAAATCAAGGGAATTGAGATTCTAGCTCCCTTACATTTCAGTTCACAACAGTCACTTCTGAAAGTTTAAGAAATACAAATACTTAAAAAAAAAAGAGTGAAATGGGGAAGAGGGAAGGGGGTAAAATGTGTAACAATGGATGAATGAAAACCTAACTTCTCTGCAAATATTTGTTAAAATCACAATTAAAATAAATTTTATATTTTTTAACAACAACAATAATAAAAGGAATTGGCATTGAATAAAAAAATAAAAATATATTGTATATTTTTTAAAAAAAGACATCCACAAAAGAGAAACAAAAGCTAGAGAGATCCTTCTACAGTCTCCAGCTAAAAACCTTCAAATTCACTGCTGTCCACCTATAGCTACCTTGGAAGAAAGGTTTAAAGATCTACTTCCAAAAAATCAGCCCCTGGAAATCTCCTAGAGACAGGGTTTGGAAAAGACTCAACGTCAACTTTCCCCTTTCTCTTACAGTCAATCTACTTGCCCCTTCACACCTTGGGATTGAGTTAATATTTCTAAATACACAAGCTTCCAAAACGTTGCCTCCAGTGAGATTGATCTTGTATGCTCCACATTTGCATATTTCAATTGTCTCCTAAAACTGTCCACCTGGGTGTCCAAGGAATCCCAGCTCTCAAACACAAGCAGATCCACACAGATCACTCAGTCACTCAGGCCTCTAGTGTCTCGGTCAAAAAGTACTTCAGTGATCTAGTTGTTAACTGAGAAACTAGGTGGTCACATTTAATACGAGGTGCCTCTAGAAAAAAGATCATACTCGAGAAAAGCTCTGAGTCAGACTCTATGATATTATAGAACCACTCTTCTATTTTAAGACATGAGCATTTAATTTACTTCACACCAGTGTTTTTTACTAAAGCATAACATACGTATCGAGTAGAATATAAATCATACGTGCACCTACCCTATCACGAGGCTTATGGATGCACCCATGCATGGTACATGAGTGTGTGCATGCCAGGAGCCTTCCTGCCCCTTTCATCACCCCCACTCTCCTCAGGGAGCTACGTGCAGTCGTGTCTGTCTATAAACAGGGCCCTGCAGGATATATGCCTTTGCATCTAGAATACTCCATTCAAGATTATGTTATAAGCTTTATACATGTTGTGCAAATAGCTGTAATGTGCTCTGTACTATCGATGTACAGAGCTCATTGTATGAATGTACCACAATAGCCTTATTAATGCCACAGTTCTTTCCTCATATTTGGTTACTTTGAAGAGTGTAGGAATGAACTTTTTGAACACGAATTATAGAAGAAGAATTGATGGCCTTTGAGCTGCAGTGTCGGAAAAGAGTAGTGAATATACCACGGACTGCGAGAACAAACAAGTTTGCCCTAGAGAGGGTGAGACCAGGCTTCTCCTTGGAGGAAAGAATTCTGAAGCTTCGTCTGACATACTTTGGGCATACTGCAAGGAGGGGACAGTTCTTAGAGAGGGACATCATGCTTGGGAGGGTGGAGGGACAGCTCAGGAGAGGAAGACCCTCAATGAGGTGGATTGATTCAGTGGCTGGGGTAATGGGAGTAGGCATGTCAGAGACAGTGTGACTGGCACAGGATAAAGTGGGGGTTAGGGCTGTTGTACAGAGGGTCGCTATGAGTTGCTGGTGACTCAATGGCACAGAACAACAACAACAATCTGTATTTCTGATGAACATCTATCTTCCATTGGATTATTGGGAATGTGTTCAGTTTTTTTCTTAATTCTTTTTTTACAATTTTTTTTATTATTATTTTTTATGTGTGTACCGTCAAATCAGATCTGACTGGTACAGGAGGAGATTGTCCCTCCTTCTTCAGCAGAGCATCTGGTGGATTCGAACCTTTAGGATTGCAGTGCAGGTTCTTGCTACTAGGTGCAGCTTCTTGCCACTAGGCAGTTTTAAATATAAGCATGAAAGAACTGTCACAGAACCTTAAAACAACACTGCACCAGATATTTAGCAACAAACACAGAAAAATTAAACAAATAATGAGCTAATTCATCAGATAGTTTAAAAAAATCCCACTTAAAATTAGTAAAATAAAATTAAAAGTATAAATCAATATAGCTATAATCCTAGACAGAAACACCCCGTCAGGACAGGGTGGTTGTGTTCCAGTGTCTAGGACACTAACAGCTCCTTAGAAGTAAGAATGGAGGGATTTGCTTTACATACTTTGGACGCTGTCAGGAGGGACCAGTCCCTGGGGGGGGGGGATCATGCTTACAAGAGTGGAGGGTCAGCAAAAAAGAGTAAGTCCTTCGGTGGGGCAGACTGACAACACAGTGACTGCAGCAATAGCTTAAGCACAGCAGAGACTGCGAAGACAGAGGAGGATCAGAGAGAGACTGTGCAGACAGAGAAGAGTCGAGTGGAGACTGTGAGGACGAAGTGGAATCGGCAGTGTTCTGTTGTACACAGGGTCACTATGAGTTGGAGCCAACACTCGGCACCAGACAATAAGGAGGAACTGATTCACAGCTGACCTTCCAGTGGGGTTTCAGAGGCAGCAAATCACACAGGAGACTGCCCATCCTCCTCCTGCAGAGCAGCTGTGTGTCTTTGGGGTTGGAGTGCAGTGTCTTACCACTAGGCCACCAGAGCTCCTGAGAAATTAAGAGACTCAGCTCTGGCGGCCTAATGGCAAGAAACTGAGCTGCAATCCTGAAGGCTCTTGGTTTGGGGCCACCATTTACTCCGTGGGTGAAAAATGGGCAATCTCTTCTCGTGTGATTAACTGCCGCTGAAAACCCACTAACAGGTTAGCTATGGGTCAGCTCTGACTCCATAATACACAACCACATGCTCTAAGGCTACATTAGACAATGATGTGTGGCTCAGTCCCCATGATGGATAAACAAATGCTTTTATTTTTCAAATAGCGAGAATTGAATATAATTTGAGAGGACTTGGGATAATAAGTGTGTGTGTGTGAAAAGAACGAGAAAAATTTTTAAAAAGTAAAAAAATCACAACAAACTGAAACAGGAAAAAAAGGAGGTAATATTCACCCACGTACAGGTTAAAATTTATCCTTTAAAAATTAAAAACAGACATCTAAGCAGATATATGCACACCCATGTTTATTGTGGCTTTGTTCACAATAGCAAGGAGTTGGAAACAACCTAAGTGCCCATCAACAAATGAATGGATAGAGAAGCTGTGGTATATTCACATAATGGAATACTGTGCTACACTGAAAAACAAGGAACTCATGCAATATTAATAAAAATTGGTGACCCTGGAGGGCATTATGTGGAGTGAAATATCTCAGTCACAAAAGGACAAGTACTGCATGGTGCCACTGTTCTAAAACAGAACTGACCTTGGGGTTGGAAGGAGATTGAGAAAGATGGGTTCAATAATGTATACTACACTGAAATATATAAGGGAGAAAACTGTTTTTAAAGGGATACTTGATTAGGTAATTTTGTCATGATGGGAGTCCAGAGCAAAGGCTGCATAGTGGAGTGGACCTGGGGGAGGCTTTGTAAAACAATGAAAGAATTTTTCTTTTACTTTTCCGAGAGGGTAGTGTACTAGGGGGGAGGGTTGG